AACAATGTGGCAACAACTTACACAATCTCACAACAAGGGACAGGAAGCGACTGTTGCCCCAAAGTTTACAAGAGAAAACTATGGGTGCGACAAACGGAAAATGGTCTATTAAATACTAGCCAAAATGTCATTGATCCAATGAATGCCAAATTAAAATATTATCACCTTTCACAAAATGTTTTACCTTGTATCTTGGTATGTGAGGGGAAAATATCTCCGTCATAAAACTTTTTCTTGTGGTTACAAAAACAGTTATAATTCAATTTGGATATTATATCAACTAGTTATGATTGATTTTGGTTCGTGCTTTATGTATATTTTTTAATTTAACTTAAAATTGTCTTCTTGTGGTTGCAATAACGCTTTATTTTTTTCTCTATTAGCTTTTACAGCATAATGTATCTGAGCGACTTGGATCTGGTATTTCAGGAGTAGAGGAGATCAAATCACATCCATTTTTCTTTGGTGTTGATTGGAATAAGCTGAAAGGCTGAACGCTCTTTCCAACAATGGTGTGAAACTAATCTTGTTGAGAGGAAGCGAGATGTGGTGTCAGCTCCATACTTATTTACAAGGTGCTCAGTATTGGATGTTCTTGTGTCATGAGAGCTGTACAACAGTGTTTGCCTTTGCTCATAGCTTTTAACCTTTTGCCATTTACTCAAAAGCGTTTTGAAGTTTAAATAGAATTTACGATAAAATGTGTGCGCATAAAGGACTCATTTTTAAAAATGTACAAGTGCAATATTTGAATATAAAGGATAATTTCAACAATGTTTATTTCCTGTTTTGACTCTACCGTACAGGTAATACAAAAGTATGAACGTGACTTGTGTAATATTTCATTGTGACAAAATAATGCATATTGCACAAGTATTGGATTGACTTCATCAGAAAGTTTTGTTCGTTTTATGAATCTTGGCAAGAATCATATAATTGAATCTTGTATTTATGGTACATTACTATAAATATACACTGACATACAGTTTACATATGATCAAATATTCAAGACATATTTATTAAGATCGAAAACTGATGTGTTATTATATATTGGATGTCTTTGTAATCTACATGTACATACAATGCAGCTGGCACCTCAGTGTGGCAGTCCTGAAAGCCAGCAAACAACTCAAAATCTGCTGCAGCAATACTATACCACACAAAGGGCCACTTAGATGTAATAGGTCATGTAGGGCATTATTCAGTGTATTCAACCTTTCTTTTTTTGTCTATCAGTTTGAAATTGACCATTGACCAATCCAACAATTGTCATGATCTCTTGGGTAAAGATGCTACAGGCCAAGTTATGTCCAGTACCCCTATATGAACTAAGACAAAATGCTTAAGTTTATGTGGTCTTGCAAAACAGGTTTTATACTGGTCCTGGGTTCCATTAGGCATTGTAGTGAAATTATCATATTCAAAATCTGCAGAACATCTGAAGGATTGCTAATTCATTAGTCTTCCTTGGTTTTTCTTAAACCGTAAAGAACTACTTATGGAACAATACTTGCAAAGCAAGCTGTATTAATAATAAAACAGAGAAACTTTTGGATAATCATATATTGGTCCTTTATCACATCTTCCAATAGTCTGAGGATGTAACTGTTGGTTCCATGGTACAGCAGCCACTATGCTCATGAGTAAAATAGTATAAATAAAACCTGATGAAAGCTGTGGCCAGAGGGCTCTATATAGAAAAGCCAACAAGTTGGCCATTCCACAGAGTACATGTTAATTTTTTTTTATCCTTGAGAAGGGATGTGAGCAAAATATCAATTGGACCTGCTTGACCTCTGCATAGCAAAAAAATAAACTATTTTTTTTTTTTGCCCCAAAGTCCCCTGTTTTCTCTCCACAATAGCAGGACAGTTCAAATGCTTTATAATATGTCTGGTTGGTTTGTTGGCTTCAAATTGAGAGAGGGAAGGGGCATAGAGAGAATGACTTTTAAATTGAACCTGGTGTCAGAAAAGTCTAGAATTTTATGACACACCCCCTCCCTCAAAACAACATATAGAGCGAGTAATACTGTGCATGGCAACACCTTGCCATACACCAATCTTTGATATGACCTGCATGTAGTAGTCTTATCCTGGAGTTTGGTTGCTGCACACCTCCCAACAGGCGCAGAAAATCTAAAGCACCTACCCCTTTGGTTTTTCTCAATGCTGGTATCGAACTCCCTCTCTTTGATGATCTACTAGGTGGGGAAACTTTCTGTTGGCAAATACAGCACCATTACTGTTTAATAACAGTAATAGGGATGCATAGGAGCTTGCATATTACTAAACACTACCAATTTTTATGACAAATGCAATTAAATGCTTTGAAATTTAACATTCAGGATGCCAATATTTTATTATATAATAACCAGACTCCAATTTCAAAAGATTACGTTGCAAGCTAAAATACAAAATGACAATTACTTGATTGAGCTTATTTCCTTTTAGTGTATTGGTTACACCTGTCACAGGACATTGTACGCACATATATATAAAAAAAAAACAAGATGTAACTGGAAATCTGTGAATGTTACATGTACCTTGAAACCAGTAAAATTATTCAATGTTAGCTTTGTTGTAACTCGTCAATAATGATCCTTATGCTACCAATTATGTTAAGAGCAAATTTGGTGTTATTAGTCCCCATTTTGCATTCTGATACATAAATACATGAACAGGGACCATGCATTACAAACAGCAGTTTTGTGGCCATTTTGTTTTTATTTCTATGCTTATTTCTTGCTAATGTATCACCTGATTCAGTCCATTACTATACTCATGGCTAATACCGTAGGATGTGTTATTTTGTGATTTGTCAAATCAGTCATTGTAAATGTGCATTTTTTGAAATGGGGTGAACCATTGTCAGAATGAATGTATAATGAAAATGTTAGGATCCTGGGCGTTAACTTTAAAAGCAGTTTTGCAATTATTGCTATAAAGATATTGTTTTGTGGTTCAAGCACATTAGAATTAGCTAATTAACATTGTACCATAGAAATATGGTACATGTACTGAACATTTTGCTAGCAACTGTTTTTCTACCCCCACCCCAATCATTTCTCTACCTTGAATAATTTCCATGGTAATATTATTGATTCATATCTAAGAGTTTGAGGACTGCTGTGAACAAGTAGTTAACTTTATGAGTGGAAATTCCTAACAGGTAAAGACTGTTGAAGTTTTGAGAAAAATGGAATTCCTGAATCCAAACCACAGGTACAAATGTAGTTAGTTTATACTAATTTTTGTTGAGACAAATGTCACATTTTCTGAAACAGCTGGTCAAGATTCCTTGTGACCTGACATTTCGCGAGTAGCAAACCAATCAAAACTAGGGTAGATTTTTTAGCACCTTTGAACAATCCTTTCTGCAGAGTTTACTTGACAGAATGTTTGGGGCCTACTTCTAAAAATGCAAAACTCCTGTGGCCAATTTGACCATGACTTGCATAATTAAAACTAGTGTGAATGCTCAATATATGTAATCATTGTTTCATACAAGAAATTTATCTCCCTTGGGCAGTTGAATGGCGAGTATAAGCCTAGACTCCAATACATCCACCGTCAGGTTGGCATTAACCATCCAGTCAAAAGCAGTTTGCAAATGAGTATACAGGCACATACTGTAAAGGGGTTAATTATTCACTGGGTTTTAATTTAGCTTATTTCGCTGACTGGAAAATGCGCTAAATTAAAACAGTGAATATGTAAAATTTAGCATAGAACACATTATCTAAATGACGAAACCGTGAATTTAAAACCCACTGAATATGCCTGAAATGGTAAATCAGTGAAATTTAAACCCAGTGAAAATTAGTCATTTTACAGTATTTATGACCCATAGTCTAGTTTGTACATACAAGTAGACCTAATCATTTCATCAAGTAAGTGGTTCTACCTAGAAGTTCATGACCAACAAATTTCACTAGTTTATGTTAAAAGTGGACTGGAAAATTGCTGTCTGGTTTCTTTTGTGCACACAATTTGTTCATAGGCATGCATGTGCAGATTTCATTTCAGATGCTGATGTATTGAGAGACTTTGAAAAAAAAAAACTATGAATAGACTTGTGAATTCTGTCTGGAGGGTAGGGCGATGTGTAGTCAGTCTGTGTACGAGTTCCCAAGATAATGTGCTGATAAAAGTAGTGTAGACGCCAATTGGTGATGCCAAAGAATTCTGTATGTAGCAATTCATCACCAGCCATTTTGGAATGCATTGGATAGGAGGCTCTGAATGGCTAGATTTAATTTAAATTGCTTAACTAGCAGTTGTGTTGGTTCCATTTTATTAGTCCTTGTTCAGACTGGTACTTATAATTCATATGAATGTCATATTTCAGAGGGATTGCATGTGTCTACCGGTAGTACTTTATTGGACATGTACACATGCAGTGGTTTAGCAATTTGATTCAAAATGGTCGACCGGCAGCCATCTAGTTTTTTGAAAATGTTGCATTTTGGACATGTTTTGTCAGTTTTCAAATTTGGTACATAGATTATACACGTTAGGATACATGTCCGGAGTCTCGTTTCAGAATCCTTTGAAACAATTTTGTTCATTCTTTGCATGTGCCTAGTACTTGATGTTGGACATGCAGTGGTTTAGCGATTTGATTCAAAATGCTGTATATTCCCACCTTAGAATCTCAAATTCGGTCATATTTGACTCCCGTGTGTGCGCATGCGCGTGCGAGCGAGCGTGCGTGCGTGTTCCAATGATATCTCAAAAACCATACATCAGTTTTTGATGAAACTTGGTGCATAGATGCTCTGGGCTAATGTGCAGATTTGATTAGGTTTTGGTAAAAATCCATGCATATTAATTACCTAATTTGCATGATTTTTAGCTGTTCCATATCTAAAGAACCACTCATTGGATTTTGATAAAACTTGGCACACAGATGCTCCAAACTAATGCGCAGATTTGATTGGTTTTGGGTAAAAATCTGCAATATTAATTACCTAATTTGCATGATTAATCAATTTTCGGCTTTTCCACTGATATTTCAAGTAGTAATCATTTCAATGACACTTGGTACACAGATGTCATAGGACACTGCACAAACTCTACGAGTACATATTACCTAATTTGCATAATTAATTCTCAGCTTTTGATATATCAAGTAGTAATCATTTCAATGAGACTTGCTACATAGATCTAGGATAATGCCAACACCTGATTAGTTTTAATTGGATATTAATTACCTAATTTGCATAATGTTCCACTGATATATAAAGAACCACAAATTGGATTTTAATGAAACTTTTAAAAAGAACTATGCAGAAACTCAATTAGTTTTTGGTAAATATTTATGCTCATTAATCACCTAATTAATTAACACTGATATCTCAATTACTGATCACATTTGAATAAAATTTGGTACATAAATGCTCTAGGAGAATAGACAACCCTGATTAATTTTGGGTTAAAATCTGTTCATTTTAATTCTCTAATAATTCATAAATTTTTTTGTTCTGTTATTAGTTACTTGATTTACATAATTAGTTTTCAGCTTCTCCATCAATATCTCGTGTACTAGTAATTTTGAATTAATTTTTAATGTGTCTTCAATACTCTCTCAGCACACAGGAGTTCTAAGCTTTCTTTGATTTAACATTGTAAAGCCCCATGTAAAGATTTATTTATTGGCAACAAGTAATGTAATTTTAGTCCCTCATTCCGATCCTCAGCCTTGCATTTTCTCGAGCACACTTTAAACAATTTTAGCAGTGCAATAACATAGACGCGCACCTCAATTTGTTTTTCTTTGCCACGTCTTGAATCTGAGGGCTCGTCACGCATTTGTTGTACTTGCAACTCAAGTTTCAAGGACACACTCTGGACAACCCCTCTTTTATACAAGGAGAACTTTCAAAAATTTAACCAAGATGGGCATTTTCAATGACTTGTTGGAAATGATTCCACTATTTAAATTAAAAGTTGCATCCTTTGACCCCTTTCATTGAAATGCGTTGATTCAAAATGTTCAACTGGGTTGCATGCTACATTGTGGGCCACACTTTCATCTGGTATGTAAAATGACATGCATAAAATAAATTACATTAATGATTCTGCGCAAAATTTTTTTGTTTAATATGTGCACTGTTTAATTGAAGTAAAGTAGGAATCCCGGCCATGTAATATAAAACTATGTATTTTTTTTTTATTGGCAATTAATTTACAAATTGTATTCACAATCAATACTCTGATAAATAGGAAAATAAATTTTATAAATAAATATAAAGTTAATTTTCCCGTTCACGGTTGATGTAGCAGATTTTCACGCTTCCATGAATTTGCCATTAGGGAAGAACATTCAAACTGATGATCAATTTCAGCTTTGCCACCTGGGGAGTGAAAAAAAAAAAATGTTCAATACAAACTGTTGACAACTGTTCACTTTACTACTGGTACAACTGAAGTATTCAAACACTTTTCGTCTGGAACCATACAAAGTAATGGCAGATTAAAGAAAGTTAAACAAAAAAACGTGATAATTGTAAAAATTTTTTTTCAATTTCACTTTCCTGGGCTTTTTGATGACTGGCAAATCAAATCAAAGCATTGGACTTGTTACCCAGAATGCAATTTCCATGGTACTAAACTTGAGGGCGGGAGATGCTAGGATGAACTCTGGACCAAAACGCATCCAATCCTTCAGGATGGATTAGGCCCCCGAGTCTCTTGCATTTAAATGCCTTTAACTCTGACAGGGAAATGGTATTCTGGGTGCCAAAGTTTAAATGATTTTTGATCAAGAGTGTAACCTCGGTAAAATTTAACCCCAGTTTGAAACAAAATACAAATCAAAAAATGGTGCCATGTGGCCCATGAGGCAGAAACTGAAAAACACGTTATAGGGCAACAAATCCACATCTTCATGGGTGAAAGTTTGACAACTGCCTCAAAGCAACTGTAAATGGTTAGAATAGCTGACAGTAACTTACCAATTACATGAACCTTTAAGACTTCAGTTGCCACATCTTCTGAGGACAACACAATGTATACATCTTCATCGATAGTCACGAACTTCACACTGTATAATCCTTTTAGGGTCCTAGTCATTTGAATTTGCCACCCCAAGGAATCTAAAGTAAAGAACAAAAGTCATTTTTATATTTAGTATACAATAAATGCAACTGTTTGCTTGTATTTCAACAGAGCAAACATGGAATGGTACAAGTACACATTTTGACATCTCCAAGCATGTCACCAATAGCCTCAATATTAATATATTCATCACAAATTCACAAAATAGTCGTCTACACTTTCCTTCAGAAGATTGGGACCAAAATAGCCAAATGTTTCAAGTAAAAACTAAATAAAATTTTATTCTTATATTGAAGAACACAAGAGTCTGGTAGTGAAGAGATTAAGCCGAGTTATAGTACTTGTATGCATGTCATTAAGAGCATGGAGTAAGATTACCTTACAAACTAGATACATGTAATCATTAGATAATGTAGTAGTTGATTGCCTTTGTTTTTCCTACTATAGGATAGTACACGATTTAAACAAACTTACAGCAATACTTCCACAGTGTGAAAGTATCTTCATGATTACTAGCCACGGCAAGGTAATGATATGCACCAATTACAGCTTCATCAATTGCAGATGGTGCTCTTACAGAAATTGAGTAATCAAGCTTTTCAAATTGTGATTCACTATTTGACCAGGAATAAAACTGAAAATACACAAGAGAAAAAAAATTCATCCATTAAAAAATGATTGAATGCAACAAAACACAAATTGTCATGAAAAGCAGTTGCGAGTTGAAAAATTGCAAGCTGGGAGACTCTTGAAATGGCCATGACAAGCAGAAACGATTTTTTTAGGCACTAAAATGACTGATATTCAGCTACCTTGAATCAGATCACAAAATGAATGCAAGTGCACATATATCCTATAATGTACATGTGAAGTTTGAACATGATCAGTCCAGACGTGTTCAACATATGGCTCTATTGAAACAAAATGGCTGATACATGTAGTTGGCCAGCACCAAGGTCCAATTTATTACCACTGCCACAATGAACTTTGCACTAAAATAGTTGCAACAAGAAATGAATGCATCCCAAGTCAAGTTTGTTACAGGTGTGTATAAAGTCTCTTTTTCAAAAGTTATTGGAATGAAGACCATTTGAATTTTTAATATCGGATACAACAATGGCATCTTTGCACTTGCATGATCCAGAAAAAAGAAATGAAGCCTTTTCAACAACATTGGTTTTGGCAATCAAATTTTTATCAAACTATCCTCTGGGGCGGACATCCGGGCATTTTCACCACCTGGCAACCCCCGCGGTGAAAACAAAGGCCCAAAACTCGCAGAAAACGTTACTTTGGGATGATTGTTGAGACTCCCCTGAACAGTGTAACAAGATTTGCCCTATGTGTGCAACATGTATAAATTTGGTTGTTCAGGATTACTTCAAAGTTGAGTTTGTGTTGTTTTCTCGAATTTTCACTGGCTCGACCGGCGTTCCACAGCAGCGCGCACAATGCCTAAAGAAATACGTGGTACAGTGGTGCACGTCTTAGCAACGTGGAACGTCTTGTGACGTAGCTCCGCCCTCGAGGATATTAAGTGCGCTCAATATATCAGCCCCATGTTTTTACTGCAATTCACAAATCAGAGATGAAATAAATCAATTTCAAATACAAGTACGCCATTCCATTTTTTTTAAAAACCGTTGCATCCAGGGTTATCTACACGACCACCACACCTCTACAAATTTATGGTGTGAAACCTACACACAACTTAAGTTAACAGCCTACAGGTGAGCATCTGAACAAGTCGCTAAACACTACCAGAAATTGTGCGACTTCCTAAAAATCTACATATCTTATCTGGGAGTAACATTTACCTAATGTTTCTGCATTTTAAATATGACAAACCAAGCTTCCACTTTGAGTCAAGTCAAAAGATCAAAATTGAACAATATTATTTTAATTGGTATGCATTATAGGTCCCATAATATAGTTACAATAGGCACATGTGGACGTCATTTATCATTCTGGTGATTACAATTACGAGATAATCAATAACTAGAATGTAATAAACTGATCTGGTGAAAGGGGACAAGAATAAAGTGCTGTAAAAAAAAACGTGTGAAGGGTGAAACCAACAAAATAGTGCACTGTTCATATGACCATACAAACTCTTGCATATATTGAGATATACATGCGTCATAACCAAATTACTAGCATGTTAACTAATAAATTTCGATTTTTAACAATTCTACCCCATTGTATTGAGTCTCAAAAGAGGCACTGTCAATGTAGCAATTATTTATCTTTAACTTTACAAATTCTTAGTCATACAATATTGACGACCTTATGGTGACAAGATGGGTTTTTCATTGTGGCAAAACCAAGAATGTATTGGTTCGGGCCACATGACAGCAAGGTGAGCATGTACTCCAATTATACTCACAGTAATTTCAGAATCGTAACTAGCTTGATCACTTTGTATCGACAGCTCATTGGCAATAGCCAGCACTACAGAATCATCCAATTCAAATTGTTTAACATCACTACAGGCATAAGTAGTAATGGTCTGGAATAGCTCAAAATCAGTCTGCAAAAAAAAAAAATGTTCCATTTGTGAATCCCATGAAATGAGCACACTTTAAACTGAATGGTGCATACAAAGGCAGTGTTTTGGGTAATGAAAC